ACCACAAGAAAAGACGAATGCTGAAGGCCTTCAGTTTGGGTGAAAACTCAGACCTGTGCATAAGATCAATTAATTAATTAATTAGATCTCGATGGCCCCCCACTCTGCTGCTGCTCAGAAGAGCGGTGAAGAGATCAACAAACTTGGGGCAGTCAAAACTGCATGCAGAAATGCATTCTGGACCACTTGTAATTTTTGGATGGTCTTCAAGGGCAGCTTACTTAAAACAGGTTGCAATAAACCAGCTGGGAAGTGTCAAAGGTGGAAAATGAATGTAAGCAAGGCCTCCCAGTCCAGGCATAGGGGTAAATGGTGTATAAGATGAATCTCTGTGAAGGACCCACAGCTACAGCTACCAACTTCTTCTTCAGTAGGAGCCACAAGTGCAGGAGGACCCCAGTTGTGCAGCAGCTCTGAAAGAGTACAACCCTGGCAAAAGTCAGAGATACCTTACCAGACCTAGGAAATCAAAACCACAGAGATTGGAGATGCATAACTGCATGTCATCAGCGACGATAGCATAAACCATGCTATTGCGTGCCCTTTCCCAGTGGCCTCATGTATGTATTGGAGAAGAGGAAATCATGGTCAAAGGTCACTGAGAGATCCAGGAGTGCCAGGATGGATGTGCCACCCCCATCCCAAGCCCTCCACAGATCATCCACAAGTGTGACCAAAACTGTGTCAGTGCTATAACCTGGCTTGAACCCTGACTGAAAGGGTCCAGATAATCCATTTCATCCAAGGCCTTTTGAAGCTGAGTACCTTCTCTAAAAGAGGGAGGTTGGAGACCAAGCAAAATTGCCTAATTCAGTTGGATGCAAGGATGGCCTCTTAAGAAAAGGGTAGGCAGCACCACCCCCTCCCACAATGAGCAGTAATCACTGCTTGGACCAACTGTATACCACCTCTGGGGAGGCTTTAACTAACTTATTTTTTTATGATCAAAACAAATTAATTCCACATTAATTCCACATTTTTAAAATAGTCTTCCACTGGTTCATTGAAGCAGTACATTTCAGCTAATTTTTCCAAAATAGATCATGTAAATTTTATACATTTCCTTCTGTTTTTGATAAAAAATCATTGACAGCTTATATCCCATTTAGTATTGGAGAACTGGGGAAACAGCAATGACATCAGTATCAAAGAGCCCAAATAACAAGTGCTGAAGTGGAATGAACTATCCAGATGTAAACTGAGATAAATCACACCCTATGTTAAGTTTAACAGAAAATTTAAAAACAGCTACATCAGAACTAAACTAGGACAAAGTAATGTTATTAAAGGCAATTTAGGCAGGTCCACACAAACAAAATATATTTTACATCTGTAAGAGAATCAATTGGACATATCTTTCTAGTTCCTCTCAGTCATCTTCCCTTCCTGACCTCCACCTGATTGGAATAGCAATAACTCAAGATATGGAATTGCAGCTTAAAAACTGATCAAGTGCTAACATCGATCTGGAAGGACATGATAAGCCTCTATCTGGATTTCAGCTATGTTTCCCTTTTTAATTGCTAACCCCTCCTGAGAAAACTGAAGGCAAAAAGAACATTCAATGACTATCCCTCACCTCTTCTTTTGACCTCTTGGGTCTTGCAGATCCTTTTGTGGTTTTGTGACAAGTTTTGTAAGTCAGTAACAGCCAAGCTGAGAGGAGAGGAGAGGAGAGGAGAGGAGAGGAGCACTGGTAGTCCATAAAGACTAAACTAATGCTCATATCTATCTCTTTCTTTGTTGTTTTTGTGATACCTTGTAAAGTTATATCTGACTGGTCAATGAAAATAAATCAATTTTACTAACTCTGATTTTCTTTCCACCATAATAGGAACATGTTCCTCTGACTAAAGCATGAAAGTTTCCCATTGTTCTTGAAGTAGATGTTCTCATAATGTTGCCTTCATTTCATCTGTAGCAAAATGTGGAAAGAGTTCAAAGCTGTATTTAGCTCTCCAGTTTTAAAGGGATGTTTTCCCTCTTCTCCTGATACAATTTTTGCCGTGGACATGTTGTATCACAACTTCCTTGAATATGTCATTTTGATTACATATTTTGGGATGAATTCAGAGAAGCTTCCACTAAATAAACTGTAAAGCATACAGAGCCTTCCAGACAAGCAGCAATGAGAATGGGGTATATGTTCTTCATTTCTGCTTTTAGTCCTATTAAATCTACTGGCTTTACTCTAAGGACATATTTGTACCTTCAGATTGCCCTGTTATGAGTATAGGCCACCAACAATTTCTGGAGGACAGGAACACAACATTTTCTATTCACCTCCAGCCCACTGCTAATGTGATCTCCACCCATATGTAGAAGAGAAGTAATCCTTTCAGCATCATTACTTCTGACCACAAAGCATAGAAAATTACCAATTTTGTGTTAAAGTATATACTGTAAAAAGCATTAATAGCGCACTGAGTATTAAATTTTTTATTTGAACCATATCACAAAGTCCTGAGACATTACTACCAATTTGATTATAGAAATGCAAAACTAACTAGCTGTAAACTGAATAATAATATAATATAATATAACATAATATAATAATAATTTTTCAGTCATAGATCAGAGCTTACATAAACATAAAAGCATAAATGTACATAATCAAAGTTTCATAAACTTATTAGAAGAATAAAGAAAAAAAATAAGAATGTTTAAAAGTGAGGGTAAGGTTTATGACCTTATTCTGAAAAGCCTTCCAGCTATATAGCATCAACCTGAGAATACCATGGCTGTATTTTATCTCCAGCCAACAGACATGAGAACAAAGTATCAATAGATGTCTCTCATACTCAGACAGAAAGCATCAGCATGACATCACAAAGGGGAGTCTGTGGTCTCCATGCAGACAGCTTCATCACAAGTCAAGGTGAGCTAGCAATTCAGGGATTTAACTGAATGAGTCAAAGCTTAGACTGAAAGCAACTGTTTTATGCTGCTTTGGTTCTAGATAAAATAGATGTAAGAGAAGGCAATCAGGAATGCTGGGAGGACCTTGAATTATATTAAATGTTTCCAGGTCTTTTTTCTGAAATTTTATATTTAATTCAGTTTTGGTATTTTAGGAAGCAAACTTTAAAAGGTAATAGCATTTTTTAGTTTCTCAAATATATCTATATTCTTGTATTATAATGATTATTTGCATTTATTTGACTTGATCCAACTCAAACGCTGTAAAGAAAGTGTTTGAGTTGAATCGAAAGAAGCTTTCATTGGATAAAAATCCTTTGAGACAAAGATGAATAGAAACAGAATTATCTTTCCCATAATTAACTATCTTCTCCATAGTCACAATCTATATTATATCACTTCTGATCATGAAAAAACTGAAGGGAAAAGACATAGAAAGTTCAATAACAAGAGAATCAAATAGAAAACATAGCTGAAAGAAAATGTCAGAATCTCCACAGGACAAGTTTGATACTCTTATTTCTCATGCTATAAATGATTGGATTGACCAGGGGTGGAAGTAAGGAATATAGGACAGTGAATGCTAAATCTAAGTAAGTTGGGGTGTTAGAGGGAGGTCTTAGGTAGGCCAAGCATGAAGTTACCAAAAACATACAAGAGATTATAAGGTGGGGCAGACAAGTGGAAAAGGCCTTCTGCCTTCCTTTCACAGAAGGGATTCTCAACACTGCCTTGAAGATCATGGCATAAGAAACAATTATCAAAATAAAAAAACCTAATCCTCCAGTGAAACTGGCCACAAGAACTCCTACTTCAATGAGATTGAAGCCAGAGCAAGGTAGCTTTAGCAATTGTGGAATTTCACAGAAAAACTGGTTAACAACATTAGAACAGAAAGGGATGGAAAAAGTGCCAGTGGTATGCAACGTTCCATAGAGAAGACCTGTAACCCCCACCAGAATCACTATTTTGGTGCAGGCTTTCCAGTTCATCACCATCTCATAGTGCAGTGGATTGCAGATGGCAACATACCGATCATAGGCCATGACTGTCAGGAGGGAGAAATCAGAAGCCTCAAAGGAAACAAAGAGAAAGAGTTGAGCAACACAACCATAGTAAGAGATGTGTCTGGTGCCCATGAGAGAATTTATCATGGATTTGGGGACAATGACTGAAACAATCCCCAGGTCCTGCACTGCCAAGTTCATTAAAAAGAAATACATGGGGGTGTGTAGTCGATGGTCAAAAGGGACTGCAGAGATGATGATAAGATTAGCTGTGGCAGTTGCCAAGTATAATATGAAGAATAAGAAGAAATGTAGAAGCTGCAGATGCCGATTTTTTGAGAATTCCAGGAGCAGAAAGTAAGGCACTGTGGTTTGATTCTCCATGTTTAACTGAGGACATACCTGCAAGTAAGCACAGGTGAGACACATTATTAGAGAAAAACTATCTAGGTATGCTATGCGTGGTGCCTTGATCTGCAGAAATGTCATAATAAACTGGAAAGTAAAGTCATACTAAAAAGGGTTATAGTGAAGCTTGATGGTGGAGACTCCCTAACTGCATAAATGTGTGTATGATGCACCTGCACTCACCACACACTCATGAAGGGAGACAGTGACAGAGAGAGAGAGAGAGAAAGGCAGAATAATTTTGTGGAAAGATAGAGCTTTACTTAGGACATCTGTTCCATGATTTACACTTCCTCCTTGAAACTGTACCCCCACTTTAACTCATCTGCTTCAACGTAACATTAAATTTAAACAAAGAGTTAAAAAAAATATTCCCAGTAGTCAGACTTTTTTTAGTTAGAATTGACTACTGGTCTAAATGGAACCTGGCCGGAAAACCTAACTGGGAAATGGATCCAAGTTTGAAGACAGTGGGGTGCCTTCACTAGTCCCTTCAGTGGGATCCTGCATACTATAATTTCAGTAGCTACAGGGAATAAAAATAGTATTAAAAAGCACCCCAGTTCGACCTTTTGAGGGTAAAAGAATGGCAGATGTAGCAAAAAGATATTTGCAAAAAATAAGGTTGTCAGAGCCATGAACTTTTCCCAGCCATTACTTCTGTTAGTCAGAACAATGTGCATCACCCTATCAAGGCCTCATCTGCTCTTCCATGAAATGTCTTTCTTAATCAAAAGAAGTCTGAAATAGTTCTCATCCTCTGTTTGCTTCTTTCTTTTCCCTCATTTTTCCCTGCAGAAAGGATTAACTGTACTAGTGATTCTTCTGCTCCAGGACAGAAATCTCTTAGGAAATGAGCAGGAAAGCCCCATCTCTCTCGGTAACATCCCCTTTTCTCCATATTGCAGATTCAGACTTCACCCTTGTGATTTCTTGACTGTACACTTAGGAAACCTGGTTTTGAGCAGCAATGAAGAATAAAGACATATGATGCCTACCTGGCTGATCTTGACTTCCAGAGACAAAGATTCTCCCCCATTTCCCCAAGTACCTCAGCACTAATAGACCACATTTAAAACCAAAAGAGAAGAAAAGGGTTGAGTTTTCTACTGTAACACACCATCTTCCAAATCTGTATTCTAAGGTTACCTTTCATGTCTAAATCAGAGTTGGTTTGATTGTTGCAACATATGAGCTCGCGTAAATAAATTCATAACTATCATCTATATAATCATGCTGCAAACTTCATGAGACCCAGGTAGAATGTCATCAACTTTTAGAAATTAATCCCACAAGGAATAATGAGGCAATGCAAAAGACATCTATGCACTAGAGAATGATTGCACAAAGATTTGGTGGAGGCTGATGTAATTCTTCAACTTTATTGTTAAAGATACTGTATCTCCCTACATTGTCAAGAAATGTACAGATGCAAAAAACATTTCTGTCTGTTGACATCATCCAGTGATGACATGATATGACTCATATTATGAAAGTTTAGATAAAATTTATTGAAGGATCTGCAATGCTGGGAAAGAGTTAAAATTGTTGTTCTATCTCAGAACAGCTCCTGCTGGCTGCCATCTTTAAAACTCCAAAATGCAAGACGACATCATGACATAGGACTCATTTTGAAAGATACTAGACGTACATATAGGGTTCCATAGGTGGCCAGTGTTTTGTTTTATAACATGGGCTGCGTGCACCATTAAGAATAAAAGTTTTATTTTGTAGATATTATCTATATTTGGAGAGACTTAACTCTGCTCCACTCCCCCATTTCTTTCTCCATTTGAAGCATCATGTTCTCTTGCAATTCACTCATGCCAGAGAAGCAGATATCATGAAAAGTAGACATGCAGTAAACAAAGAAAGTGTTAGGATATTCTCATGGGAAGAAAAGCAAATTGCTGATCTCCAAACATTGTTTTGACTGCAGAAGTCATGCCACCTGCATTTGTTTTTCTAGTTTGCACATATACTGCTATTTACTGCCACCTATTGGCGTCTGTATGCTAGTTAACTAAGGGGAGGTGCATAGTGTCAATAAATTGTGGGTGATTGTATGCCACACTGTCTTAGTAGAATTTTAGTCATCATGTAATCAGTTTTATAGGTTATGTAGTTGTAACTAATCACTAAGTAGTGTGCCTCTTCTTTGAGAGTTTTTGTTGGCTAGAGACTTTGTTAAACA